TCACTGCCATAATGCAAGATTGCACGCAACATGGCTGAGCATACCAGTCTGTTCAGGGGTCTCAGGTGTGCCTTGTCCGAGACAATGCAAATTTTAGCCGTAAATCCATACGTCGTGCGCGTTAAGCGTATAAGTCCGTCAGTCCACCACCAAGGACACGGCCCAAGTTCTTCTCGATGCTAAGGCTGGCGCTCTGCTTAGGTTTGCGTTGTTAGGGGGACAGCGACGGACGAACTCAATGCCACAATGACAGAATTCATTTCATGATTTGCAGAACCACGGCCATCACGTTACAACTGAAATTGTGCTTGTAAGTGAGCAGTGTCTTGGGGAACTGTGGAGCACTCAGGTTCAAACACCGTGTGGCGCAAGCAGACTTTCAGAGTTATGGATTGGAAGTGCGCATAGGCCCATAGTAGTTCCCTTTTGGGGTTACCTTTTAGGATCCTTAATATAAGATTGGTAAAACCAAAAAACGGAACCACAATGGAGACTATAGGTAAATGGGCAAGTTCGTCATTCTGGGCATCCTAAAGGAGGAACTGTAGCACCACGTTGTGGACTGATGAAGAAACAGTGGTTTGGGTCCGATAAAAGCAAGATATTGCAACCCAGGTGTGAGATAAACCCTAAACCTTATAAACCCTAAACCCTTGGGTTCCAGGTAGCCCAAACTAGTTCGAATGACAAGAGGATGGTTGGACGCGGCACGTGAGATCGTTGTTCTAATTCCCACGTTGTTTTGTAGGTACACGCACATAGAACCAATATAGAACCTGAACCATCAATTGTGGGCAACAAGGAATAATATAGGACCCGTAAGCCCGTAAGTTCTCGAACTTCCAGAAACCTGAACCGTAAACCCTAAACCCTAAACCCTTAGTAAGAGCACCTGAGGCGGACGTGAATTTGCCTCCGACGAACAGCACACCTTTCCGGGTTCTCGAGCAGATGGCTCGGGCATACTCCGCCGTATCTAAGGACTCGGCATTTAAATTTGGGGATTAGTACATGACTAGTATTATGATTATGAGTAACTCATCATTATTGGGGATTAGTGCTATTCTTGAGTATTGTGACTCTGAGTATCAATCATTATGCGGACTCTTATGAATACACTGGTTTCAGAGGTTCCTGTACACATGAATGCATGAGAGACTGACAGATAAAGGTTCTGCCAGGCATTTAGGGTGTTTAGGCTTTTTGGGGATTTGGAAGTTTGGGGTCTAGTATAGGGTTTTATAGAAGTTTGGCGGTGGGATCTTCGGGTTTCAGGATTTCGATTAAAGATTCAGGCTTCAACGGTGTGTACGCTTGAGGCTTTAGGACTGTAGGCTTCAGGGACTACATGGCAGCAGAGCATTATCAGCAGCTGTTCATCGAACTTTTTACCGCCGTCAAAAACTTTAGCTCTAAACCCCTACAAAAACCCATGCCCATGTTGCGCAGAGAGGAGCCGCCGTTTCTTGTGAAGTTCTTCTCGAACGCCAGCAGTATCTCGGCATTCGTTCCTTGGGGCTCCAAGCAGGGTTTAGTTGATGGTTTAGGTTTAGTTTAGGGTTAGGGTTCTTGTTGCCTTAAAGCATCCAAGTATACATATAACTAACACCGGCATTGGGCTCTGACGTCAATAATAGGACCTAGTTTGGGCTGTTTGGTGCCCCAGCACCTGGCCGTATCTGAAAATGAACTGAGGTTGCAGGAGGTTGCCCGATCAGAGTGAATGCTTTAGAGATGTTGAAAACCTGGTCATAGACAACCCACAACCTTAAATAGACAACCCACAACCTTAAATAGACAAACCACAGCCTTAAAAATCTTATAAGCTCCGTCCACCCTAACCAGGCACGCCCTTGGGCTATGCATCACTGTGCGGCAATGTTGAATATGTCGACTTTCTCCTGCGCGCCCGAGCGGACCCCCAGAAACGCAACCGACGTCGCTTGGCATGCAACTTGCTCTACGGGTGCCTTAAACAGATTCGATGAGGATTCTATAAAGGGTTTAGGGATCTAGGGTTTTGGGGTTTGGTTGTTTAGGGTCTTTTCAGTTCAGGCATCAAATTCGCTGTTTAGGGCTGATCGCTTCCCGGAGGATGCCACAAGCTTTTTTGTGAGCAGTGAAGGCTTGGAACCAACCATGGGAACCTACCTGCCTTGCATGTCGTTTGATCCGTGACGCCAGGTCCACTGAGCACCCGTGACACACACACACACGTGCACATACAAAAAGGATGCGCTCTTCTGTACGAAACCCGTGCTGTTGCACTACGAGCCCATAAACCGTACACATTGCGGAACCCGAACCCTAAACCCTAAACCTTAGCCCTACGAGCCTCGTGCCATCCAAACCCCTAACCCCACATGAGCCCGTAACCCCTAACCCTGAACCCCTTGAGAATAACCCCGCTGCAATGCGGGCTCGTCCTTGCTACGTAGGAGGCAAAAAAAAGCCTCTTGAGCCCCCTGCAACCTGAAACCTAAAACCCCCTCAACCCAGTAAGTCCTAAACCCCTTATTAAACCTCACAATCCTAAGCCCTGAACCCTCTAAACCCCCTAAACTAAACCCCTTGAGCCCCATAACCCCCAGGCCCCTGAGCCCTTAAGCCCCAAACCGCCAAACCCAGAAACGCTGAGATGGCCGAACGCCGCTGGAGCTTGCCAAGTTCGACGACATTGGCCGGTCATTTGAGCGAAGGGGTGCCTTGGAGTTCTTGAGCTTATAGGGTTTAGGACTTAGTCTTGGCTTGGGGTTTAGGCTGCCGGGTTTAGGGCTTTCAGTCGTAGGGCCTTTAGGGTTTAGGGCTTTGNNGGGGGGGGGGGGGGGGGTGTGGGGCTTGAGCGGTTTAGGGCTGTTGATGCTTTGTTTGTTCTTCGCGGGCCCAGTTTAATACCCTCGAGGGTACAGTTAAAACTGATACGGGCATAATGTGGTCGGTCGTTTGTTTCGCAAGGGCTCTCTCTCCGGTTCCATAAGCAGTTTCAACATAGTCTTGATTTTCAGATGGCCTTGTTTAGCGGAGGTTCGGGGAGTTTGGTGCTGGGTGTGACCGGGGATGTATGGTTTAGGAACCTTAAACCCTAAGCCCTAAACCCTAAACCTTAAACCCTAAACCTTAAACCCCTTAAACCCTACCCTAAACCAGGGAAAAGTTGGTGGGTTGAGGCCGTTAGAGCTTGGAATTGAGGTTTTGCGGTTTCCAGACCAGGGTGCGAGGTTCTATAGAGTTTAGGGTTTAGGTAAAGTTCCGTCAACATCCCTGTCATGTGGTAATTCCAGATATCGAGTTGAAGATTGTGGTAGTATGCCTCTGTATTTGGGGGTCAAGTTTACGGGCGTGCTCCGATGCGCCGTGAGTGTGGTTCTGTAAATGCCTACTATAGGGGCCTAAATAATTACCAATACGATTTTGGGGGGTTCCTGATTATGATTATAGCATAATATACACCAAAACCCTATTTAAATTATTAAGGCTTCTGCATTATTCCCAGCCTCCTTGCCAGACCTGTGTCCTCGATCCAACTGGGGCCCTAAACCCTAAACCCCTAAACCCTTCTATTACGGCACCAGAAAAGACGGGGGGGGAGGGGGGCTTGTGATTTAGGGTTGAGGGTTTAGGTCAGGGCTTCCCCAAAGTATCCCCTTCGCGACGCCCCGAAGCTCATATTGTCTGTGGCTTAAAGTACCTTTGGCCACGTTACCATGGTAGGGTATGTAGAGGCTGTAAATGTACGAAACTTCTTCTTCTTCTTTGCTGTACATCTTTTGAAGTAAATTTCATAGGCTCCTTGACAAAGTTGCGAGAAGGAGAGCATCCCATCAACCAGCTCTTTGATGTGAACTCCCTCACCGCTGAGCTCTTGGAAGAACGGTTCATCGACGAAGTCGTGGAAGTGAGATTCTGAGATTCGCGGGAGGCTTCCTAAACCCTAAACCCTAAACCCTGAACCCTGCCCACAAGACTCCAACTATGCAAACAGTACCTACACTTGTGTCTGACGTCTACCTGTGGCCCACAAGACCTACCTTTTCAATGAACTTTTAACAGAAGCAATACGGAGGAACCCTCAAAATTAGGTCTTTTCAGCTACAGGTATAAACTCTAAGCAGCACCTGGTTTTGGGCCATTTGGAGTCTTAGGGTATCTTCGCAACCCTAAACCCTAAACCCCAAACCCTAGCCCTAAACCCTAAACCCTGTACACCCACTACCCCGGAGACTTGGGCTTGGACGAAGACAGCTGCTGAGGTTTTAGAGGGGTTGATCCAGGTGTTAAGCTTCAAAACTAGATCCTTCTTCTACTCTTAAATGGGGGCATATGGCCCCCACGAGGTATCTAGGGTCTAATTGGTGGTAAATGGAGAGTTTGGAAGATTGGGTTTAACTCTGAGGTGTCAAGATTTCGTTTAGGGCCGTTCGAGATGGAGAGTTCTGATGAGATTCTTGCATATACTGCACTTTGTCATGTCTCGCACGCTCTGGCTCTCTCGATCTCTGTCTTTCTCCCTGTCTCTCGATCTCGATCTAACTAACTGCATGTGTGCGAAGCATATATATATATATATATACACACGTGTAAGTTGATACCCCAAATTGCTGCAGACGCAAATGTGCGTTTAGTTGTGAAGTAAACACAGACCTAAGTTCGTAATTAGATTACAATGAAGCACGCAGGCAAGCAATGTATCCAGCAATAGGAAAGCAATATACCATGAGCTATAGTCGTATACTAGACACCACCTGCGAACACACACACACACACACATGTGTACATCTCTTATACACACACACACATATATATATATATATGTATGTATCTATCTTTATATATACACTGTGTATGTATGCAAGAACGTATGTATGTGTGTGTACGTATGTATGTATGTATGTATGCATGTATGTGTGTGTACGTATGTATGTATGTATGTATGTATGTATGTATGTATGTATGTATGTATGCATATATGACTATGAGCGATTCGGAAGCTCAGCGGCCAGGTCATTTTCTCCGGGAGGCTTCATCGACATGTCTTGCAACGGTATGCGCCAACATGCAAGCGCCGCCGAGTCGCACCCTTTCATTTCGGTTTTTCTTGTGCATAGGCCGCTTTACGCCGGCCGTGAACTCGCGGAAAGAGTTGCATTGCCGCTGGCTTTGAGGCCTGGTATGTGCATGGCTTGAATCTGGTGATGGACGCAAGCCGCCGGATTGAGGCCAGGGAGAAGAGCAGGCTGCAGCACGGAAGCGTAAGTCAAAATTGAAGTCATGTGTCATGTTGAAGAGCGGCTCCAATCTTGCCACAATGAATTGCAAATTGTTGCTGCTTGTGGCCTTGGGTCGGTCAATTGACATTGACAGACCACTGTGGCCATGGCGTGGCGGCCGCGTCGACACCAGTTGTCTCGGCAGTGACAACGGACAGCGATGGGACGATATACAACGCAAAATGACGTTCTTGTTATCGACCTCCCGTGAGCCGGGAAGCAGGTTCAGGGGATATCACGAGCGAGGCCTGAAGCTCGATGATGCCGGACGTAGCGATTTCATAGCCGCGTGGGAAGACGTCAAAAGCTTCACTGCAGCGGTTGCTGTTGCTACGCCAGATCACCCGGTGGCGCAGGACTGCTGGTGTGGGGTCGGTGCCAGCGTTGTTTTTCAATCGTTGCCCCAGCGGCCCACCCAGCTGTTCACAGCAGCCGCACATACAAGCGAGACATTTTATCCACCTCTTGAGCTTTGCATGGTTATGAGTCTATCGGGCGATACTTGTGGAACGTGGCCGCTGCAGCTGCTGATGTATCGCGTAGCTGAACACATTGAGCCCTTCGTGATGCAATGCATTCTCCCAGTTGAGCTTGTTAATCATGCACCTGGCACGGTCGCGTATAGGCTTCTAAAGAAGCTGTCAGCACATACAGAAGGCCGTGATGTAGTTGACTTGTGCGTTGGGCAAGCCTTGCCTGCCGCACTTCTGGCATCGAAGTCTGCAACGGTTGAGTACACGGAGCGATTCACATTCAGACTTCTGTGGTGGTCAGCTTGTTTGCGTCCGACTCCTCTGGCCAACTCGGTCTACGCCTTCATGGCGGGTAGGTACGACGTCATGCGCATGCTGGCATTGCGAACGGAGACTTCACTTCCAGTCTTCGAGAAGGCTGAAACCCAGATGCCGACGGAGTATTCCACGCTGTTGCAAAGCGATCAGCACAAGCAGCTTCTGGACCTTATGGATGTTGCACACGCTGTCTGTGAGATGTTAGGAATCGCCTACGTTCTAAATGGTGGGGGTCTGTTAGGCTCCATGAGACACCTGTCGATCATTCCTTGGGACGATGATGCAGAGATGGCGATTGTGGAGGAGGACGACCGAGGCGTCGAGATTTTGTTGCTGGCACTGGCCATGCGGCTTGAGTCTCGATTGGAGCTCGCAAAACCAGACGTTCAATCCTTGGTCGAAACTTACGGCTTGAGCGAGGATGAGACTTATGGACAAACGTCGATGCTGTTGGATCGGCTGGAAGCTGTCGAGCGAGCTGCGGATTTCTTGTTGAGACGCGGTGTGGCCCTACATATACAGGCACAGAAGGCGAGAACTTTCCGAATCTCACACGCCGCCCCCGGCGACGCCTCCTGGAGTTTTCCGAACTTTGACTTTTACATCTGCTCCAGAGACAACGCCACCCACTGGCCCAAGCCTCAGACAAGACCTTAGACTTCTCAGCTTCAAGCTCTCCAGTGTGTTGTTTTCTTTCTCCCTTTTTCCCTATTCCTCAGCTCCTCTGTCTCACAGGCGCGGCTATTCGCGCCAAAATGGTCCGCTGTACTCCGATGCGATGATTTTCCCACGTCGGAAGAGGTATTGGAGGAAGAGCCTCGGCTCAGCAGACGCAGACGCTGCAGAGGCTGCAGAGGCTGCAGAGGCTGCAGCCCGCGGGCTGGTGCTCTGGACTTTCAACAAACCAGCGGAGTACCTGGAGCTGCTCTATGGAGACAATTGGTTCACGGAGTGTCGGCGTGAGGAAGGGCATGCAGATGAGGCAAGCCGCATGGCGAAGTGGGATTGGTACAGCGGGGATTCGTACGACAAAGTTCCATGCGCCCAAGTCGCTGAAGTTGTCCAGTATACCAATCTATCGGAGGATCAGTGGACTGCCGTCTATGGGGCCATTACTGCTCAATTGGGCACGGCATGGCATTGCCAAAGCCTTGTCTCCAATCCTCCGGAGGCCAGCCGCGACATGATGCCAGAGGCAGTTTGTGCCTTCGCATGATGTCGCATGTTGATGACGTTAGCTAGTTGGAGTCGCTGGGCACACACTGTTGGTGAAGGCACGTGCAGAAGGTTCGGAAGTGCAGATGGGTTGGCATCGCGCACCGCGCATGTGGTATGGGCGTTTGTGCATGCATGCGGCTCAGCGAGCAGCTACAGAAGTACCGCTCCCTGAAGACCAGGCAATCCATAAAGGGTTCAGCGCCCTCTTGTGCATAGTCCAATTCTCCTGCGACCAAGGCCCTCTGCAGCTTTCCGCACAAGCACAGGAAAGCAGCACTTTATAGGTTGCAGTGAGGGACAGGTGTTGGGCCTGAAGGTTCGGTGCAATCTATTGTGGAGGGGTGGAGGAGGGTCAGTGTGGCATATGAAAAAAGGACAAGCACTAGGAAACGATCTGCACCCACTGACTCACTCCCTCCCATGCTTCTGGGGTCCATCTGCCAGCTCAATGTTGTCAGGCTTGGCCTTGGAGGCCCCCTGACACGCCCCACTCACTCTCACTCGCTCTGTCTCTCTCACACTGTCTCTCTCTCTCTCTCACTCTCACCCTCACACTCTCACACTCTCACATTCTCTCACTCTCACCCAGTCGCTCATTCAGTCAGTTAGTCAGTGATTGAGTCAGGCAGTCAGTCAGGCTCAGTCCTGTCATTCAGAAGCGTTCTTTGTTTTTCGTGCTTACCTCTTTCATGCTTTCCTGGAGCTAAATGTCTCGAGATGTGCCTGGCTCTTCCGCTGACTGCTCCGTGTCGTTGAACGTCAGGCCGTTGGTGGGCTGGTTTTGGCCACGGCGCGATGCAGCCGACGATCTGTATCATGCGAGGGCCTGGTAGTTCCGAGATCATAAACGAGAAGCCTTGTGTCCTTGCCCGTGCTCAGACCTTTTTACTCTCTGCCACGGCAGTGAAACCAAGTAATCAGAAGCAGGTTTCGGACTGACCACTTCATAATAGAATCAGCATCTATGAACATTCAGCTTGGCTTGTACGGGTTCGAAACATCCAAGACTCTTACTCCGTCTGGCGCGCGGCTGCAGTCTTTGGTTTGCCACGGCGATCACGAAAGCAAGCGCTGGGCCTGGGAGGATCAGAATTTGCCACAGGCGGGCACTGCACCCGAACAACTCGCAACATCTGTCGGTTGTGCGAACTGTTCTAGCAAGGCTTAGACATAGACAGGTGGCTGCGGAACCGGCTTGGGTGCCGTGGGAAGGAAGCCGAGAAAGCTTTCACTTGGTTATCGTTGGAGGTGGCCCGGCAGGATTGGGGCCTCTCTACTATGCAGCCAGCGTGGGCGAGCTGGAGGAACTCCTTCGAAAAGGCGTCGTAATCCTAGAGAAGCAGGAGCCCGAGCATCTCAGAGCCCAAAGTTTAAAAGCTTTCGAAGAACGCCCTTTAACATCAAGAGAACCTCCCAAAGCAGGACCGCCTCGGTGCTGGTCCATCCTTCGAATTGCCCATCAGCAGCAACTCCTTTGGCTCTGCCTTCTTGGACATTCTCAACAGTGAGAACATCGCCCGCCTTTTCCCGGAAACCCTCCGCAGTCCCTTAGTCCATGAACTCAACATCTCGAAGGAGGTTGAACTCAAGAAGGTCGGGACTTTCCTTCGCTTGATGGCCCAAGAATTGCAAGAGATTTTCCGCAGCTTTCCGGCCAGCCAAGTGGTTCTTGGAGCAAGCGTGCTTGACCTGCATGTGAGCAACCTGACCCAAACCGTCATGTATGAACAGGCAGGGTGCAAGCAACAGCTGCAAGGTGAACATGTGATTTTGGCTATGGGGGCCACAGAGGATCTACAGCGTTGTAAGCAGGCCCCGCTTGGAAAATCCCAATTGACACTGTCCCATTGTGGATTCAAGCATCTCTACAGTGGCTATGATGCCCTGCGTGATGTCCAACAACTGCTGAGGAGCCATGATGATCTCGTCGTTGTGGGTAGCTCCCACACAGCCTGGGCCATACTTCACATGCTGCGAGCCAACCAGTCGTCCACAAATGTCACTCTAATACAACGAACAGAGCCAAAATATTTCTTTTACTCTGCTGCAGAAGCCCGGTTGGCAAATGCCAGCTTCGATGCGTTCGGCGACGTTTGTCCCATCACTGGGCGTATCAATCGGTTCTCTGGGCTCAGAGGAGACATCCGAGATTATGCTGCGACGTGGGGTCTGCACCGCCAGCCAACAGATCCCGTTGTGTGTCTCGGCTGCAACGGGAAGAATATGACACCAGCGTCATTGAACATGTCCTGCAAGCGAACGGTTTCCCAGCGAGGGTTTTTGAATTGGAAGCTTTGAGAGAGGTTTATTTTTGTTTCAACGATTGTGAGTTTTGTGTTGTGGCGAAGTTCGATCTCGACGCGTAAGTGACAGGTATCAAGCTACAGTATTTCAAGTTTCTTTCCAGCTAGAGTGGCTGCTTCCACGTCAATCGCCAAACTTTAGCTACGGCCGTGTTCGAGCCGCGCTCCATGGAAATGCACAAGTTTCCGAGTTTGACAGGATCGAAGGTTGGAGGATTGAAAGTTTCAAAGGTTGAACTGCGAAGGCGTACCAGGTCGAGGGATTGACAGGTTTTGGTTTTCCATTTTTCGAGAGGTCGAGAGTTCGATCGATTGAAAGTTTGAGCGAGAGGTTGAGTATTTCGATATTTGAAGTTCGAGGGGACCATGTCGAGTTTGAAAGTTTGAGAATTCGATAGTTCGAATTTATGAAAGTCTGAAAGGCCCGGCGTCAAGTAATCATACCCGCCTGGCGCTGACCCCATATTCGACACTTGTTACAAATTCCCTGCTGTAGCGAAACCTTCAAGCTCTCAAGCTGCACACTTTCCTCGAAGCTGTGGAGGCCGCGCCCTCCGCAGGATGTGTTCAATCTATCCAATATTTCAGTTTGAGAAACCACAGTGCTCGCGACGCCTATCCTGCAAACTTTAAGACCTGTCAATGGCCACAGCAGGAAGAACAAAGTCAATTGACATAGTTTTTCCTGGTGATCACGGTCCTGGTCATGTCGTGTTTCGTCGCCAGGTAGTACGTAGTGTTGAGTTAGGGAGCGACATCAGTCAAGAAGGACCTGCTTTATGGATTGGAGTTGGGGTGTTTTGCTTCATCCCCGACTCGGTTTGTTCAGAGCATTCTTGAGGAGATATTTCACAGATGGCCGTGACGAGTTCAGCTCTTCCGAGCTTTGTGGGCTGCTTTCCAGGACCACCGACTTTCGGGAGCACAGGGGCATGCACATTTCAGGCAGTTCTAGAAGTGTTCAGAGTAGCAAAGCTCTTGTGAACGAAGCAGAGATGACCATAACAGGAGCACGGTGGTTTGTGCTACGGGATACCGCCCACGGTTCCCACGCATCTTCGTGGGCCCAAAGGAGGCCCGGCTCGGTTGTTTTGACGAATTGAACCGTTGGGTGCTCGTATTGTGCTCGGTCACGGCAAGAATTCATCCCTGCTTCTGCTTAAAGCTTCGCTGCCCTGGAACTCAGATGTTTTGAGGTGGAAGTGGCTTACGCCTCATCCCCGACGCGCAGAGGACAGTTGGTCACGGAGACTGGAATTCTGGATCGGACCTATGCCTACGGTTTGGGGAGTGGGATTGCTATCAATTCAGACATTGGCGGGGAAGTGCGAGGTTGGGGGTCAATTCGGGCTGATGGTGTTTGGCTTTATCAGTTCGACATCGGCAAGGCCATACACAGACAGTTGACAACGCTTGGCACATCTGCGTCGTGGGTCGAGATATTCAACAAGAAGGCGCGCCAATTGAGCGCGGCCAACGCTCCATTGCAGCATTTCGGTGGCTGCGAGACGTTCACTTGGGCACAGTGGCTGACACATGCCCAGGTGTTGTTGAAGCCACTTCGTCCTTCGCTGAGGGAGCGAAGCGTCCTTGAAGTTGGTATGGGCGCAGGAGCTTTCCTTGCGACCATCCGGGCCATCACAACCGGGGGTAATGACACAAAAGACTCTGGGCTGTAAATCGGCAAGACTGTCAGCTACTGTAAAGGTATTGTAAGCTGTACAAGCCAGAATCATCGCGTCTCCTTCACTCACGTTTCGACAGCTGCTGCTAGGTGTACGGAATAGATCCTGCTGCTGATGCAATTGCAGTTGCTCGCCAGCGCATGCACGGGACATTCCTCGTCGCAGGAGCTTCTGATCTAAAGATCCTTTTCAAGCCGCGGTCTTTTGCGTGCGTCGTCTCCTATGATTTGATCACCTACATGGAATCAGCGGAGGCGGTTGCATCACTTTTCAGTGAGGCTTTGCGGATTGCCCAGGATTTCGTTTACATCGGTCAAGTGTCAAATCTCGCCAAGAAGCAGCTAGCCGAGCACTTGCGATTCTCCAACCACGGAGAAAACTTCACCTCGCAGAAAGCTTCACCTCCGCGTCTCTATGTCTCAAAGGATTTATTTCGTAGAGTTGCTGCAACACATGGCGTTGTTGCAGAAATCAAAGATCACACTGTTGCTGGGTCGCATGCAGAAGTCTTTGTACGTGTTCCTTTGCCGCACGGTGCTGCGGAAACCGGGCTGGAAGCTAGGCAGCTAGGCCTAAGCTAGCACACGCGGACTCCTGACGCTTCTGAGCGACCTCTGAGCGACCTCTGAGCGACCGAGGATCTGGGTCTCGCAGATCCAACAGCGCCGTATCGGTTCTCTGTGTATGTGGACCTCAGGTCCGGTGATAGGTCATAACTACAGGACTGCACTTTTTGGATTTTGCGCGAGGCGTTGTTCAGCCCCGGCGACGCGAACTTCCATCAACCAGTGCAGTCGCTAGTCAACAGGGCCCGCCCTCCGTTCACCTCTGCGGGTAGCTTGCAGAGAGGCAAAAAGGAGTGTGAGATGGTGCCATGGTGCCTGTGACAGCAACCCCCTGTCCCAATTTCCGAGTCGCGGCAGGTGTGTGCGGAGGTGAGACACTCCAGGGTGCGTGTCTGGAGCTCAAGAGGCCCCAAGGGCTCATTGTACCGGCGAAAGCTCACAAATTGAGCAATGCGCTCCCCACGTGGCGTGCAAAACCAAGCATCACACAATGCAAGATGCAAGCGATGCAAGCGATGCTAGGAGGGGACTGGGCTTTGGCCGTTACGTCTTGCCGGTTGTGGTGCAATATCGGTGCTGCCTCGGCTCAGGAGAGAGCAAGACACGTTGTACGCCAGCTGGCGGGTCTTTACCACATATCGTCTCTGGCTCCAAAGAGACGGTGCCCGTCCTCGCATCGACTCGCATGGCTCCTTGCGCTTGGATGTGGGAGACGCAGGGCCCGGGCCTGAGTTGGATCCTGCAGCGCATAGATGGCATGGACAATGAAGATCGAAAGCAGTTCAGTGCTGTTCTGCAAGAGCGTTTTAGGATGGGAGGAGCAGAGATTGAACTAAGGTCCAGCCGCCGCGACCACCGCGGCCGGTCTCGGCGTGCATGGCAGGAGCAAGTTGGCGCCGTGTGAGTCGTCTTTCGCTCGAGGTCCGCTTTGTCCCCCGGAGTCACACTGCAAGAATTCCCGGCCTGGCCCCACCCTCCTGCCCCCAAGCGTCGCATTCCCGTGGTTCCGCAACGTCCTGCAAACATAAATCCGAAAGCAGCGCATACATACGATGCCTTCGTTAGTTTCCCTTCTTTCGCCTTGATCGTTCCTAGGTCCGTGAGACCGGTGTGGAGATTCTGCTCAGCTAGGGGCGTCGCCTGCGAGAGTCTGCTAGAGCTGCTACCGCTTGTTTACGCAGGCAAGCCCGTCCCAGCCTGTCCTGGTCCTGGCCGCCGTTACGAGCAAGATTCAGAGCGAATTATGCAGTCAAAACCCCGATGCACTGCTTGTCCATTCTATCGATGTCGCGAGAGCTTTGCTCTCTGCAGGCCTACTGCAGCAATCTCAACATCGCGGCAGCATCACGGTCGAGTGCCTGGAGGCGGGGGCGTGCGACTGTCCCTCGACAAAGTGTGCACAGAACTGTCTCGGCTTGAGGCTAGCCCTCGCTGCCTTGCGCGCTGCCGCCAAGCCAGATCTCGTGAGCTTCAACAGCGTGGCTGCGGCCTGCGCCCGAGCCACGAAGTGGCCTCGAGCGCTGCGGCTGCTTGGAAACCTCAGGGCAGCCGCTTTGCAAGCGGACCAGCGCACCTGGACACCCCTGCTGCCGTTGCTGCCTTGGCCTCGTGCTCTGCAAGTTCTCGGAGATCTGGAAGAGCGTTCTCTGCTGGATCCACCCCTGCTGGCTGCCGCGCTGGCAGCTACGGCTCGGGCACACGCTTGGGCTGCGACGCTCCAGCTGCTAAACCAACTGCGTGCTCGGGACGGAGGAGGGCGAGGCTTCGGCTTCGGCTTCGCAGGGCTCAGTGCGGCCATCCGTCTCGCAAGAGCCTCGCGGTGGCCAGAAAGTCTCGGCCTCGTGCAAGAATCTCGAGACATGGGGCGTTTGCAAAGCGATGTCGTTCTGCTGCCGACCTGCCTCCTTGCTTGCAGAGCCGGGGCATTGTGGCAGCTTGGGCTCTGCCTGCTTCAAGCTGCAGACGGCGCGGAGCTTCGAACTGCGGCCGCACACAACTCGGCGATCAGCGCCTGTGCCGAAGAGTCGCAGAGGCAGACCGCGCTGCAGCTGCTCGCTGATGCAGAGCCCCTTGGCATCCTGGATGTCACCACCTGCAATGCTTCTGGGCTTGGCTGGACACGTTGGCTTGATTGCAACATGGTGTTTAGATCTATGATCCAACACTGTGACAGCACGAAAATAACACAACACACGGCGACCGCACTGCGTGGGCTGCGATTGGCTTTAAAGCAAGGGTGTGTCCTGCTCCAGATTGCACCTAAACCCTTGAGAGAGAGAAGGGTGGAAAATTGATGCCAAGCGAAGGGCAAGACGCTTCTGACTTTTCATCCGGGGCCCGGCCCTGGGCCTTCGGCCGATACGCCTCGAGGGTTAGTAACCTCTTGACCTGCCCTGTGCTGGTGTCGCGCCGTAGCTTTCTGCAGCGATGTGGATCTCTGTGCATCGAAGGCTTCGATCACTGCCTGTGACCGGGGACGTGCCTGGCAGCATGCGCTAGAAGTCCTGGAAGTTGCGCAAGAGCAGCGTGTACGCACCGATGCATTCAGCTGCTCGCCTCTGCCGGCATCGTGAAGGGGGCACCCCTAGTCACGGATAGAGGTCTGTCTTAAAGAGGCAGTTAACGCAGAAGGCAAGAGACTGTCTCGATGCATACGGGCGCTGGTGAAGGCAAACAAGCCCTTGCAGTGTGTATGTTCAGGCGAATCAGGCAGAAGGCGGCAGATGACCTTATGGCACATCATGGCAATGGCAAGCGAGCCGGATCGGTTGGCATCGTTGGACTAAGCGGGCTCCGTGCTTTCGAGGTTCTGCCGCAGCTGGGAGTTCCTGTGCCTCCGCCACCCAGTGGAGCATGGCGCTGAGCCTCTTCACCAAAGACCTTCCAGGCAGGGCTGCATTTTCGGTCCTGGCTGCTAGGAGTTACTGGAGAGCTCATGCGTGAAGCGAACCTGCACATGAGCACAACCCGCAGTCGTTGAGAAAAGGGGGATCGCAGCTGATGAGCTGCCTCTGCGTCTGTGCGAGTGTGTTGCGGCTAGATTGCGATGGCTTCCGGTTGAGCTGTGCCTTTGACGGAGTCGCGGATTCCCGCTTCAATGTCTCAAGAAAAAAGAAACGTGAGTGGGTGATACGGCACTTCATCCCGTGCCTGCCAGCTGATGCCAGCTGTCGAGCTTGCGTACATCTTAGCTGCGGTGCAGTTTCCTGGGGTCTCGATTCGTGGAGAGGAACTGTTCGGGACTCGTGGCGGGAGCCTTGCGATGCTCAGGAGGTTGAGTCACATAGTCTGCTTTAGCCGAGAAGGTCATGACAAGTCTCGCGAGCGTTGCCAAGTTGCGAAGCAGACGCGCCGCTGACCAACGGAGGCCCCTTTGCTCTGAGCGCACTCGTGGCTGCTTGTGGCGCCGCACGACGCTGGGAGCATGGCTTGGCAATTTGGCAAGGACCGTGATCCGGGCTTGCAGCACCTGCCTGGCCAAGCGTGGTTGACCCGTTGGCGACGTGCAACAACTTCTGTCCGGTTTAATGTAGCATATATCGAGGATGGCACGGCGGAATGGACCTTGACCACACTTGCCAGAATGCAGCCCTGCATCTCTTCGCACCTCTGGGTCGCTGGGTGGCAGCGCTGCAGGCCATCATTGGAACAATACATCGGGAGCCATAGATAGTGAGATAGTGAGTGTAGAGCTTGATCGGGCTTCGGCATGTTGGTTGCGTTGAGTTCCGCCCGTTTCGGCCGGCAGCGCTCTTGCAGGTGCTTGATGCCATGCGCCCCTTGGCGATGGACGTGTGATCCTGTCAGCTGTGCAATATTCATTCTATTTGGCGAGACTTAGCCACTGTGAAAGCATAGCCATGATCCACTTGTGAGAGGAGTGTGGGAGTTGGTTTTTGATGCATCTGCATTCCGTCCCGGGTTTCGAACTTCCCCTCGCATTTTAGCATCGACGCACGCTTAGAGAGTGCTGACACATGCGCAGTTTTCCTAGACACCAGTTGCCGAAACACGAAGCGAGAAAAAGCCTTTGAAAAAAAAAGTTCAGTGCTTACTCCTCAGCTAGGCTAACGTCCGAGCATGTCGAAGCCGTACCCGCGCGTGGGCTCGTCTGCGTCCATGGGTTAAGCTCGCGCTGTTAAACCTCGGAAAGATTTCGGAGTTGGGTGGCTAGAGTGAGCGGTGACTTCACATCTTTGTAGCCGGTGCTGCCGATGTTGAGGAGGTGCAAGGCTGTGTTTGTTCGACGCACGAACTGAGGCACTCTGGGTGCAACGGACGCACTCAGTTTGGAGGCGTGTCAAAACTCCTGCGAGGTGCGGCCGTGTGTCGTTGGAATTTCCGGAAAGCTGCTTTTTCCCAAGTCGCAGTCCCCACGCATGAAAGCTGAGCTTCACAGACTTTGTACAAGTTAAAGGGGTTCACCTCGGCATCTCCTGTATTCTTTCCAGGGTGTTGCTGTTTTTTGTGTCAGGTCGCTGGGGCGTGGCCTCCGATGCCGCGCCTCTGGCATGCTGCAGCGAAGGAGGCGCGTGCCAGGGCACAGGCTTGGCAAAGGGGGAGCTTGGATCCTCTTAGAAGCGACACTTCAGCTTTCACGAGACTGTGGTGCGCTTGCAGAGTCCAAGCCTCTCAGCTGAGCTCTCGCTCCCTCCCTTCATTCTCACTCCACTCGCTCACGTGCGGCCATTGGCTTCTAGACATCATGGACCTGACCCGTCGATAAGAGTCTCCACTCGCCAGAGGAATTCTGGCTTGGGATGCTCCCGGGGCCGGGACGGTTGAAAAGAGTTGAACAGTTTTAAAGCTGCAGCCAGCCTACGCAGCAGAAGGCCAAGCTCTCCAGATCCAGCGCGAACGGTGTCGAAGCAGTTGGAGGCAGTGCTGTTGAGGGGCCCGAGGATATTCCAAATCTGACTTGGATGAGCTGTCGCATGGTCTGCCAAGTCCTCACAGGCATTGCAGATGGCATCAGAGATGCATGAATTGAGGAGCAAGTGTCCAGTGGAAAGAATCCATTTTCTCCGGATGTTTTTTCGAGGTGCCCTAGCGGCCCCTACGGAAGCGGAAGCCGAAAGCCTCTAGCCTCTGTCCTGGATTGTGTGCATCCGCGCGCTCCTGCCCAGAGTCGACGATTCGCTTGCGGCTGGAGCGGTCGCCTGGTGATGGCACACTTCGAAGAGTTTGGCAGGGCTGTGAAAGTCGCAGGTTTGTGGGAGCACAGATTGAGGTTTTGACTTCTTCGGCAAAGTGCCAGCCTTTTGCATTCCTTCCTGCTTTCCTTCCTTCCGCCGAGTGTTCGATAGAGGCAAGCAGCACGATTCGAAGGACAAGAACGGACTGATGGGAAAGCATGGAGCGAACGGAATGACAATCAAAGCCTCCTTCAGGGACCCAAAGTCTCGGTATGAAATCTGCTTCAGACGCAGATTCGAAGAGCGGAACGGCTTGTATGAACGAACGTACGCTGACCTGACGTGTCCAGCTTGTATTCCCAGAGCCCGGGGTCGCTGCATTAACATGGACATGACCCGGATTTGTTCAAAAAAGCTGAGAGAGCTCGGCTTGGGTAGGCTCCGCATGGTCGCACTAAGTTGTTTTCGAGAGAAGAATCTGTGAGTGGACATGAATCATGTGGCGAAACACCCTTCCACGGAACGCGAGAGAACTTGAACCAGGATCACAGACTGAAGCGTTCAACGAGGCTTTCCACAGCGCCGGGAACATGATTAAACTAAAGGCTTAACGCTGAAGTGAGCGTTTCGCATGTCTTTGTGACGGTGAATAGAGCGACATGTAGGCAGCAGGAACACCTCATTCGGCCGTGGTGGCAATCAAGAGGCAAGAGCAGTGGACGGCTGATGCTGATGTGGCTGCGCTTGGTCCGACAGTCAGGGTCGGACTGTATGTCAGTCGAGGAGCTACCAGAAGAGATGCAGTAGCTGTATCAGACAAGTGGTAGTCGACATCTAGATACTGACAGAAGCAACGTCACCTCCCAGACGAATCGCTGGTGACATATAGAGCATGACAGAAGTTTCGGTGCAGGAGAAAGGAGGAACTCGACAAATGGTTTGGATGACAGGTTCAGAGACCACAAGAGAAAATTGCGATGTTCTGACATGTTCTGACGCGGGCAGGCAAGAGAGCTAGATTGATTTCGACCAGACGCATGCATCATGTGAAAGGCACAGAACTGCTGCCAAGACAACACCGCACCTGAATGTGGCAATCGATACCGTCCACACATCTCCGAAAATTTATCCGGTCAGTCTGCAAGTCTGCAAGTATTTCACCACGCCCCGTCGGACATCCTGAGGCTGGGAAGCTGTCGCGGAAGGTACCTCGGCAGGCCAGCTGGGGTGTGTTTCATGGATTCCGGATTTTGCGTGCATGGGAAACGGAATGCATCTCGTCTAAGGTGACTAGTTATCGGCGAATTGTGGAGTTCAACCTGTGTAGCAGTCGTGTTCTGAGCCTGTCTCATGCATGAAGATCGGAGGGTGCAAGCTGCCGGGGAATGCTCTCCACCATGTAAATGGAAGCTGAAGTCAGGTGGGGCTTCGCACGATACATCGCCGGTCTGCATTCCTCTCGCGACATGGCATTGATGCCTGACCAGGCAGAGCACTTCCGGGGCATGCTGGCGTGGATCAGGGGCAAGAGAGAGAAACAAGATGGACCGACCACCGCTGTTGCAAGATGGTCGTGCGGTCGTGCAACTCAGAGTTCGGCTTGAGGCTTCCGGGCGTGACGCTGTAGGTGCTTGCTGCACTTGCACTTCCTTCCCCACTGCTCTTCAATGCAAGGTTCAAGGGAAAGGCAGCATTGCTGGTGAAGCCTGGTGCATCAAGAAAGTTGAGGCTTTTCGGCCCTTTGATGTTAAGCGCGTGCTTTTTCCCAAGACCACCAGGAGGCTCTCTGAATCCGGTATGTGACAGCCATGACAGAAGACCAGGACAGTTCGGGTTTGCAACGGCAAGATCCCATCCTGGAAGTGCGCAGAGAATGTGCACCGTGCACCGTCAATTCATACGCAAGTCCGGCGTTCCATGAAAATTAGTAGCATTGCGAAGCCATGAAGAGTCCATGTGCTGCCGTGGCGGAGGCCCGGTCAGGAATTTCAGCCGATGCTGCTCCGCGAGCTACCGTAAGAACTTTTAGCCAGTCGGCTGGGTTGTTGCATCATGGACTGACTTTGCTGAAAAAGGGCGTCCTTTGCTCCAAGTTGCGCAAAGCGGGTCTCAGCGGCTCCGGGCAGGCCGACCCGCTTGCACCGCGGAGGCGGCTGGAGGCGGCGCGGCGGCTGTCTCACGCAGGGTAGACTATGCTTAGGGGCTTAGGGCCTTTCAGGGTCTGGCAAGCCAGCGATGTTTCGTCACACACGTCATTTTCGCCCTCTTCCCCTGAAGCAAGTTTGCTTGGCCCCGAATGATCCGCAGATAGTAGCACCGTCCGCTTTTGAGAAGCAGTGGCTTTCTGCTACAAGTGCGGCAGCAAGCTGCAGCGACAGCACTCAGCTGTAGCTAAGGTGCGTGCCCACATTGATTCATGAATGCCACTCAGGCGGAGTGGGACAGTTTCTGGTTTTGCAAGCATGAGCAGTGCTGCTTGGCAAGGCGTATGCTTTGCTTGGCACATTGCTGCAACGTCTCCGAGCGATGGGAGTCTTTACGCTTCGCGACAGGTTGCTTCGACGGCATGTCTTGGTGGTTTTGGGCTGGCTGATACAGCTCGACCTCTGCAGCGAGGAGGATTCAGAGGAAGTTTACTGGAAACTGGGCAGGAATAGGGTGGTTTCTCTGCTGAGCTGCAAGCTTTCAGCCTGCCTGACACCTGTTGCTACAAGGAACGCTTCGCTGCTGAAAGGCTTGGACTGGGCATTTGGCTCATGGAGTCACAACTGACCGTCGTGCTGGATACATGACTGGGCCTTTGCATGTGGCAGGTGCCAGGTATGGTTTTCGAGGCTTGGACGGGACGTTCTCGGAAGCAGCATGTTTCGTTTATTCATGTACTGCTCCCAGGCGATGTCAGATGCTATCATCCTCATGATGTTCTGATGATGACAATGGGCGAGGGCACAACTGCAGGCGAGGGCGCATCTACAGGCTGGACGGGAGCAGACATGTGCACTGGCATTGCGGCATGCGAAACAAAGCGTTGACTAGCGCGTCAGGTGAGAAGATGCTAAAGCGGAAGAGCTGGCTGCTTCGGGATGTTTGCTGTTCGCAGGGCCGGACTGGCCCGTGCTGGAGCGGTCCGGGACGCCCAGTACGGAACAGAATCAATCAAGCAATCAGTCAAGCAATCGTTTTATCCAGCAAGCACTCGATCAGTGCATATATATATATATATATATGTGCTACCCTCCTCATGTATCAACAGTTTGTCTGTGTTGGCCACAGCCTTGGACTCGTTTCCTTTGTCGCCCTTTTTTCTTTCGCTTTAAACACACACCACGCACTACACTTTGTTTCATTTGTGTGTTGTTTAAAGGAAAAGGAAAAGTGGTGAAGTGAACGAACACAAACAAGGATGTGCTTTTATTTCATTGCAATGCAATGTGAGCGAAAAGAGTTAGCGGAATGAAGCGCGAATGAAACAGACAAAAGCAATACGCTCCTCATCCACTGTTTCTCTTGTGTTGTGTTGATTTGGAAGATAAACAAGGGTTCGTTCGTGCTTCCTCTTCGCTTTTCTCGTTCCATTGCAACTGAACCCTTTTCTCTTCATTCAACAGTAACAAAAGACTCACTATATTATAGGTGTATTAGAGAATTAATGTGAAGCGAAAAAGATGAACGAAATAAGCACGCATTCATTTAATTTCTTTGTTTTATTTCGTTCACTTCTCTAACTTCTCATTCATTCCACACCACCGGCAGTCAGGATATTAAAGGAGAGCGGCAGTGGCAAAATGACTTAGGATATCTCACATGTTACTAGATGTATTTCCTGGTGATATGATAGCCTATGATAATAAAGGTATCCTGAGGAGAAGATATAGTTGATAAATAGTGGTAACTTACAGGTTATATCCTATGAGAAGGCTATTACAACTAAGATATAATGCTATCCTAGGACCTATTTCTATCATCAGAAGATACCACTAAATATTCGTTGTACCTTGAAAATTGGGTCTTTTCGGGGTTCGTCTCGTGGTTTTATTTCTTGAATCATGCGCTTCATTTCTTTCATTTCTATTTAGTAAATAAAAGCACGACTCACGTGGAATTCCCTACCATCTATTGGATCAGGAATACCTTTCCTATCTTTTGGGGTTTCGTTCATTTCTTTTGTCCTTTTATTTGGTTTAATTGTAACGAATGAAAGAAGTGAATGAAGGCAAGAATTAAACCAGATGAAAGAAACAAAAGACGCACAAAAAACACGTGAAAAGAGGGAACGAAAGCAAACCACGAACTAAATCATGCTTTCACTTGTTTCATTATATTTAATTCGCACTTTGGTTTCGTTCCTTTC